GGCTTTTGGGGATGGGGCAGGTTTGTCACAGTGGGTCCGGGTGCTGGTAACGAAGCTGTGCCTGCAAGGGAAGCAGTTGCAATCAGTCCTGGATAGGGCTGCCCCAGGGGCGCTGGGTGCTGTGAGGGGCCAGCCCAGCCCTGACCCCGCTGCTCGGGGGGCTCCTCTCTGGGCTGGGCTCCGAAATGGCCCCTGAGACTCAGCTCCTCCTTGGCCGCCTGCAGAGCGGGCGCTCAGGGCTGGCAACGTGGATGCACACAGGGACCTCGGCACCGGCCAGAAGGACACCTGTGTTGTGCCAACCATGCAGCACCCAGCCCCACAGTGGGGTCTGGGGAAGCCCGGTGACCCCCTCCCAGTCTGCCATTCCCCAGACGGGCTGGTGAGCTCCCACCATCCTTCTCAGAGCTGGTGCTGGTGCCCGGGAATTGTTTGCTGCCTGTGCCATTGTGCCACAGGCCCTGTTTCTGGTGGCCACCTCCCCTTGCTGCAGGAGAAGATGGGTTCCTTATGCCTGAACATTCATTTGCTCTGCTGCTCGACAGCCTGCGGTCTGGCTGAGCCACCCCAATTGTTCCCAGTGTGCCTGGACAAAGAAGTGCCTAGAGAGATGGCAAGGCTTAGGAGAAGAGGACACGCTACGAATATTTCCACTGCCTTGAACACCACCAGTTTCCCCCACGCACTCCTGCAAGAATGGGAGGCAGCAGCTCAGTTTCACAGGCAGGGTCGGATGCCTCCCTGCCTGTCCTAAGGCAGGCTGAGGGCTTGTTCCTGGGGAGCGTGTCCTCGGCAACGACACGGTAAGGGAGGCAAATGCCGAGGGTCTCTCCCCAGAGCATGGGCCATGGGAGCCCCAGGTAGCCCCAGGCACCCCCTGCGGGTCCCTGTCCCCAAGGACTCACGTGGCACCGCAGGGTGGTGGCACTGCCCTGGGGCCTCCTGTGTGCTCAGGACTGCTGTTCCCAGGCAGACAAAGCAATTTTGGGAGCTGCAGTTTGCAGCTGGTGTTTTTGCCGGGTGACAGCCTGCGCGCTGCATCATCCCGAAATCTGGAGGAATCAGGGAGGGGAATGGCATGGGGTGAGGAGGGGCAGGACTGGCTTCATCAGCCATGCTGCTCTGTGCAGGATTAATGCCATCATGGAGGCAACGCCTTTTCCTTTCCCCCAGGGCTGGTGTTCAGCTGGGCCAGGTCTGAGCACTTGCACACGTCGCTGCGCCCTCGCTGCAAGCTGTGGGCTTTACCTGGTGCGGGGCTCACCTCCGGGCTGCTGTTAGGGCCGTTGCCTGCTGGTTCTTCTCCCCAGCTTGTCTCACCTGCCACGGCTCATTCCCAGCTGTTGGCCAACCCCGAGATTTGTTGCCCTATTTTGCAAACAGGAAAGCTGGGACGGGGATAAAGACCAAGCTTGCAAAGCCCTTGGCATGGAGCGGCCCCCGGTGAGGTCTGCGAAAGTTGGGGGGGTCCCACGGGAGCTCTGCCAGTTCCCATGCGACCTGCTCAAGGTCAGGCAGAGCAGGCAGCGAGCCCTGGTTCCTTCCTTCCCTGCGGGCTCGAGGCGGAAGTGGAGCCTGCGTCTGCTCCGCCACCTCTGAGCAGGGGGAGGGCAGCGGGCGCCGCTGAGGCTTTTGTTCTCGGGGCTTGGATGGCTCCTTCACACGTGAAGGGAATGGCATCGGCGTTTCCAGTGGGGAAAAGATGCCGCATCCAAAAACATCCCGGCTCCCTCGGTCATTAGCATCTGCCACGGCTGAGAATCACAACTGCATTGAATTGGTGCTGGGAAGCAACAGACCCAGCAAGCGCAGCCCCCATCTCCCAGCTGCTCTGGTGCGGTTTCACAGGAGGCTGGCAGGGATGAGTGTGTGGGATGCCTGGGAGCACGGGACCCATTGCAGCCTGGCTCCTGGGGACCACTCTGCCGTCTCCCCTGGGTTCAGGAGATGCTGCCCGAGAGCCCAGCGTGCAATAAGGTGG